GAAAAGAGATGTGTGATATTAAAGTGTTTGGGAAAGACTCTACTCCTCATTCTAGGACGAATGATCCTAAGGGGGGAGAATGTAAGGCCCCGGAAAATTTCGCTACGTAATCTAGGATTTTGTGGTGCCACGTAGGCTAATTATTATATTTTATATGCTATTAACATGGTGGACATAAATTATACTTAGTAAATATGAGTATAAGTCTTATGGTAAGTGATGTGAGGTCCAAATGGAAGCCTAAGTGTATGCCAAATGGGAAAAATCTCGCAATAGGCTAAAATTTCAAATGGATTCGCACAAGGCTCCACTTTAAACGAGAATATCTAAATATGTATGAGATTTTATGTGGTGACTAGCATATCAAATTAAAGGTCTTTGAGTCTAGTTTCCAACTCTTCAAACCGTTTGTCATTTGGACATTCCTACGCGAAGTTATGGTTAAATTACCAAAGGCTGAAAAATGATATCCTGTGTCAATTCTGCGACCGCAGATCAGGTCGCATTTCTCACTCTGCGGTCGCATTTTGGCCGCAGAATGGGCCAGTGTAGCCCAGTTTTGGGCGCCGATTTTGTGGAGCATTCTGCGGACCGCATGTCGATTTTGCGGTCCATTCTGCTATAGCAGAATCGACATCGTGGGGTTAATTTTTTTAATTTTTAAACCCGACCCCCTATCAATATATTAGGTGTTATAGCTCATTTTGAGCATTTTTCGAAGCATTTCTAGAGTGAGAGAGGGGGAAAGTTTCCCCCATCAAATTTCTCCATAAAATCTTGCTAAATCCTTGAAGATAATCAAGTGAAGGCCCTAGATCTTCATCCCAAGAGATTGGGATTGCTAGAATTTCCGGAATATCGTAGAAATTGAGCTTCCATGGTGCCTGCGTAAATGTTGTAAGTTCAAAATAATATTGATGCGATACTCATTTTGTTATGTTAAGCGAATTATTATTCTGAAAAGGTATGTGGTGGTTACTTCTCCATGTGTTTAATATGCTATTCTTGGTAAATGAGGGTATGTGAAGAATGTGATCTATGTGCTAAAATGCCTAGACTTCAAGTCAAGTTTAAATTGAGATTTTGATGCCAAATGGTGTGAGAAAACTCGTTATGATTTATCCTCCAAATTGTTCTTATGTGTACCAAATGTATTTGATTGATTGTGCCTAGCTGTTGGTAATCTATAAAGATGTTTGGAAGTGAAGTAAGTAACTGTGTAAATGTGGTAAGACGGAATGTTGGACTCTCGTTGTGATTTATACTTTACATGATTTGATGTTGTGACCCGATATTTGTGAAAGATGTATTCCAATATGATCAATGTGCTATTGTTGACAATTTAAAAAGGGGGCAAGGAATATGAATCATGTATTGAAATGTTAATACCTTAAATTGAGATTGAGTTGCATGTACTATGCCAAACTATGTGAAATCCTCTATGTATAGAGATGTTTGCAGTAATCAAATGAATTTATGAAATATAGTGTGGCCAATGTGTCGAGAACTTGAATTATAATTGTACCTGGTGATGCCTAAGACATGGGAAAATATGAAATTGATTATGAAATGAGACTTGACTTTGCTTTCCATAAGTGACTTCAATAATAAAGTGTCTTAAAGGTTGTGTACACAATTTATGCCATAATTGGCCGTTCGAGGTAATGTTTTGCCTTATGAGTACATCCAATGTGATGCGGGTTGTTACATACTTCGAAGTTGAAATTGATATTGATGTAAAATGTAGAAAAGAGAGATTGAGTTATGATAATTGTGGCCCCAAGTGCCTATGAATTGATATGAGGTATGTGAAATAAAGATTTCGATGTATTGACTAATGAGAAAGGAGTAACGCCTAGGCAAGGCGACCTAGCCGATCGGGTTGTGATCGGACACCATATTTCATACATGGTGGTAATGTGATGATATTGAATTTCGGATAAGAGGAATAAAACATTGGTTGAGATATATGTCTTCAATGAGGTGGCCTAGCCGATCGGGCCGTGATCGGACACCATGCCACACACATGATGGTATTTTACTGATATTGAATTCTTGTATTGAGAATGAAATTGTGATTGAGGTATATGTCTCAAATGAGGCAACCTAGCTGATCGGGTCGTGATCGGACTCCGCTCAATAAAGCGGTGGAAAAAAAAAGGAAAGATGAGATTGTGATTGGGATAATGTCTCAAATGAGACAACTTATCCGATCGGGTCGAGATCGGACTCCGCTCATGATAGCGGTGGTATTGTTCACAAATGATAGATAGTGTGGAATGCCCCAAACTAAATATTATGGAAGTATAATGTGAAAATTGTATGATTCTTTTAGTGCCCAAGGTATAGATATGGGAATTGTGTGAAAGTCATAAAATTCTTCGATTTGATGACATGGTGACTGCTAAAGCTTTTGATTGACATTTATGATTTCTTTACTCTTGTTTGATAAGTCTTTCTAATGAAAAGATGTTAAAGGTTTATTTGCTATTATATGATAGTTCTCTCTATTTGGATGGTGTTTAGTTATACATACTAGTGCTATTCAATGGCACTAACGTCCTTTTTTCCAGGGGCGCTGTATCGTTTTATGATACAGGTTGTTCCTCAGCGAGCGGCAATGACCAGTGATAGCAGTATCCTCTTCCCAGCAGACTTGGTGAGCCCCACTCTATCCCGGGATCATGTCATGTATCTTAGTCCATTTTCTCTTCATGTACTTTGTATTTGAGGTATAGCCGGAGCCTTGTTGCCGGCATTTCCATATTATTCTTCTGTTATATTTAGAGGCTCCATAGACAAGTTGTGGGTAGTGTCGGGTATTGGAATTAAGGTTGAAATATTTATGTTTGGCAAAGATGTATAATTCTTGTAATATTTTTGATAATTGTAATATAAGTTGATTAATGGAGTCCATCTCCTATTTAACCATAAATTAGTTTGGGTAGAATGGAACCTAATAGGCTTGCTCATTCGGGTTTACTCGGTTGAGCGTCGGTCGCGCTCCTCGGATTTTGGGGCGTGACAGCAAGTCTCAGCAGCCTAGCTTGGAGATTATATCAAAACAGTGACACAATCTGGGCTAGGGTCTTAATGGGGAAGTACTGTAGTAAAAGCCAAATTAAGGCTAAAGCAAAGATTAGGATTTGGAAATGCATACAAGAAGGTTGGAATGCATGTATTAAGGCATTTAGATGGGTTGTCCATAAAGGGGATAGAGTCAACTTTATTGTTGACAACTGGATCCCCAACATGAAACCCCTAAACTCAATCTTTCATGGACCTTGACATAACTCTGACTTGACCATAAAGATAAGATCCATCATTCACAATGAGGAATGGAACCTTGGTGTTGTTCATTACCCCATTCCCATGGATATTTTAAGTGATATCCACTCCGCTTTCATCCTTAATTAAAGCAACACCAAAGATAAGCTTATCTGAAACCTTAATGGTAATGGGCTTTTTAGTACTAAGTCAACCTACAACCTTATTAGTTCTAAGCTGAACCCTAGTAATGGCCAGGGTGATTCTTTTGGCTGGATTTAGAAATTAAAAGTCTCTAAAAAATAGAAATGTTCACATGGATGATGCAGCACAACAAAAAGCCAACTGCAAAGCACCTAAATAGCATTGGCTTAAATGTAAGCCCCATATGCTATTTTGCTCATCTGGAGTAGAAGACATTAATCATATTTTCTTTGAATGCACCAATGCAAAAATCTTCTGGCTATCTCTGATACAAGAGTGTACAAACCATGATTGTCACCCATACCTTGTGCTTACAATGATCAATTGGGAACAAACATGGCATAAGGTCAAGAACATGCATTTCAATGCTTCTATTGACGGGAGCTATAGAGTATTACCATGTTGTTGTCCACCACAGTGACAAGGGAAAAAAATACTAAAATATACATCAAATTGGAACCCCTACCTAATGGCTCCTACAAACTTAACACAGAGGGGGCTACTTGCCCAAAAAACAGGAGTAGGAAGGGGTTGCGGGTGTCTTCAGGAACAACGGAGGTGACTGGGTGCTAGGATACATAAGGGGTATATCACTTACAACTAGTATAGAGGTAGAACTTCATACCCTCTGGCAAGATCTAAAAATAGCTCTTGATCACAACTTCACCCTTTTAAAATTAGCACTGATTCTGAACAAGTTGTAAGGATGTTAAAAGACGGAAACCTCTACTATAACTCTATTACCTTTTTTAATGCAGATCACTGATGGAGCAATTGGGGAATCCACACTAGGACATAATTTCAGAGAGATGAAACAGGTAACGGACCTCCTCGTAAAGGAAGGAGCAGCAAAAAAAATGTTTGGAAGAACAGAAGTTTTGGCAGTTCCTCCGATGTTTGTAAACAAGATCATGTAGGCAGACATCCTAGGAACTATTTTTTTGCATAATATCAAGGGTAAACCCAATGTAGTGCAAAACAATTATGCCATATTTCTTCAAAGGCACTTGATATGCACATAATATTATGCCATATTTCTTTCACTCTAAATATGCATGTTTCCTTGTGTAAATTTAATTAAGGGTAATGTTTTCAAAACTTTTCTTAGTTCCCTAGAGTAAGTGGTTATTTAAGGGGTGTGTTGAAGGCAAAAACACCAAATAATATAGATCAGAGGGGGTTAATAATTCTAATTTGCAACTAAAGCATTAATACTATCACATAACACTGTTAAGAAAATAGGAATTATTGACGGATAAATTATGTAGCTACATTAAAAAAAATTGCCGCTAATTTTATTTAGCGACAGATTATCAAAAGATTCTGATAACTACGAGCAATTTAGCGACAGATCGGCAACGAAGTTCATAGCTAATTGCAGTTCGTTTTGCAGTGTATAAGATGCAAGGTATACGAGAAGAGTCGAAAAGAGAATCCAGGAAATATCCTTATAAATTATAGTTCAGCAATCACTGCTAACAAATGTAAATAACCATCCATAACAAGGGTGACCTGGATTATATTTCTGGAAAAAAAAAATGACTACTACATTATATTTCATAGTCTTGAATTTCAGAGAGTAGCAAGTTGCTGAATATTCATAGGAAAAGTAAAATTGGGACCTCCATAGAAAGCCATATCCCCAAGCAAAAGGTTGACAGCAGAAGTGGGGTGATATGCATCCCAAAATAAGTAGTCATCTCTGTTTGGACATGGTGTTTGCATTGGAAGACAAGTTACTTCCCCTTTGTTTTTCCCTGACCCACAACACCCACGATCTGTCACACTAAACCCTGTCCAAAATAAAATCACAATCAATCACTTTTTTACATATCTAAATACACCATTCAAAAGTACTACTGGTCATAATATTTAGCAATTCAAAAGTACTACTGGTCATAATATTTAGCAATGCAAACATCCCTAAACATAGCATGATATGCTGGTTAGCAGTTACACAAAGACTGCTGACAAGAGAAAGATTAGAAAAGATAGGAGTATGCACAGAGACAAGATGTGAAATATGTGGTGAAAGCAAGGAAACAATACAACATCTCTTCTTTGAATGCAAGTTTTCGAATGAATGTTTGAAGCTGCTGTTAAACTGGCTAGGCAAAGGAATTCAAAATCCAGATATCGAAAATGTCTGGAAGAAATTGACGAGGAATGTGGAAGGTAAACTGAGCAGAAAGTTTATTACTGCAACAATATCGGCACTGATATACACAATATAGAAGGTTCAAAATGAGACAGTATGGAACAATAAGGTGATGCATCCAGAATCGATATGCAAGCAGATAAAGCAGGAATGCAAAATTAAACTGAAGATGCAGAATGTATGGAAAGAAGGAAGAAACAGTAGGAATTGGCTAGAACAATTGTATGTAAGAGACTAGCTTAAGATGATATAGAACAGGAAGGAAGGTAGAGTATTTTGCGACTAGAAGACTTCTTCTAGTTTGTACAGTTTTTATAGAAAATGTATACTGATGTTTGAGAGATTAATAAAAAATTTCTTTACACCAAAAAAAAAAAAAATATTTAAAAAATATTTATAAAAAATATGATCAAAGTTAACCTTCTTTGACTCTCCAAATAGTATATGCGTTACATAAAGTGAAACATAGAGAGTATCATATGTGCATTTAACATGTATATCGTGTAAAAAAAATTTACACTATCTATCAGTGTAACCTAATTTGTGGAGACTAACAACAACAATAATAATAACAAACCCAATGAAATCCCACACGTGGGGTCTGAGGAGGGTAGTGTGTATGCAGACCTTACCCCTACCTAGAGAAAGTAGAGATGTTGTTTCTGATATACTCTCGGCTCGGAAAAAATACAAAGGTAAAGAGCAAAAAATGCTCAAAAAAGGTAAAAAGCAGGAAATAACAATAAAAAGCGATACGAACAAAGCAATCAGAAAATCAAAATGTGATGTACAAAAGTTACTCTGTTACCGAAAATTATCTTTCAAACAATCTCATAGTTTTTAATTTTATACAATCAGTGTACGGAAGTTACTCGTTACTTATTTTCCCTCTTTTCAGTCTACCTCTAGTTACTATTTAAATACAAATTTTCTATTTCACTTGGGCAGATCAATTGCTTTTTAAATTTAGTTAGGAATTACTAAAACTAAGACCCATATCGTCGGGCAAAGACTTAGCTGAGAAATGTTGTTGGACAAAAAAGTGGATTGAAAAAAGAAATTAAATAATAACATTTCGGATTCTTAATGTGCAGTATAAATAAGCAGTTAAAATGCCCAAAGTATGTCATAAAGAAGTTGAAGAATATGAGATGCAGTTTGTTCTTCACATTTTTTTTGTGATGCGTGATACCAAGAGTTGTCAATATGGGCCGGGCCGGTCCAGTCCAGCCTGTACAGGCATTTGGTATTTGACGAGCTGGACTGAGCAGGCCCACCATTTCAATGGGCCTTAAAATGGTTAGCCCAACCTAGTCCTGGGTGGTTCATGAGTCCTCACAAACATACCCTCAGTCTAATGATTTCGGGCACAACTTACGTTCCAAAACTTGATAGTTCACTGGATTCTTCAATTCGCATCAAGTTCACATTTTACTACATTCTTCATCGATGATAGAGTTGAAATATCCCTTGCCACGAATGGTTTTTATATGGACTGGAGTTTATTTAGCTAAAAAGGGATATTCTTGAATATATATGTTTTTCATATATATAAAGTGGAATTTACTAAGACAAAGAGGGAAATAAATGAAGCATACCATAGGACTTGTAGTTGGTAAAGATATCTTTGAACATATTTTCCATGTCAAGGAAAATGAAGTGGGCACCAGGCAGTTCACTCTTGTTGAGTTTCATGATCATTGTCTTTAATTTAGCATTGAATGGGTGCACCATTTGATTCACTATTTCTGAGCATTCACCATTTGAACTTTCTGCTAGCAAGAATGGGATGCAACCCATTTGTCCAATCCCAGCAATTATAAATTTCCGAGCTCCAAGATCATATAATTTCTGCATGGTAACATTGATTTTTACTTGTATTTAGTAGTGTACCTACTAAGTTGATTACAACAACAACAACTGATACTCAAATGTAATCTCGTAAGTGGGGTCTGGAAAAAATGGGGTGCATGCAGACCTTACTCCTATCTTGTAAAAGGAATAGGGGTTGTTTCCGATATATATTTGTCCAGAAAAACATTTTCAAAACCAGTTTAAAAGAAAGCACGAGTAAACAGTTACGGTGAAAATAGTGTAGAAAGAAAAAGGAAAAGTACAGTCAGCAAAAGTCAAATTAACTAGTACCCAAATAAAAAAAACATTAGTAATAAATTTGAAGAATAAGACAAGGATAATAATAATGATACTGACAAGTAAAAGATGGAGCAAATAAGGTGCTCTAAACTCAGAGGTGGAACTAGCCTATGAGGTACGATTTCGGCCGAACCCAATCACTTTTGCTTAATTAAACACTGTATTTTTCAGGGGTGGATGTAGAGTTTGGCCGTTGGATTCATCTGAACCCATTACGTTCAACGTGGAGCATATAAAGATTTATGTGTAAAAATTCGTTAAAATTGCAACAAATGATAGGACTGAATCCATAATTTAAAAAATACAATGAGTTCAATACTAAAAATCTTAGAAGTTAAACCTATAGAATCTAAAATCCTGGATCCGCCTTTGGTTTTTTGTATTAGAAAATTCATTAAATATGTATAAATATTTAATTACGAACCCAGCAACCAAGATGAGTTATAGATTTCGTGGCAAATTCAGAACCCATAAACTTTAAATCTTGGCTCCGCCTCCATAAAAACTATAACCAAGTTCTTCCAGGCTATGGCTAAGTTGAATGATTAAAAGAAATGAAGAGATCTTACTATCAATTGCTCTTTGTATTGATGAACCAATAATTCAGCAAACTTTTGAGGAGTGTATTCATCTTGAGTAAAGTAAGCAGGCATAATGTAATTGTTGAGGTAGTCATTGCTGCCCATTCCCACAAAGAATATGCACTTGGGAATTGCCTCTTCCACAATTGGTGCATTCATATTTTTTATCAAACTCACCAACGTGTTTTCAAAGTTTTTGATTTGATAACTGAATGGGATTCGCTCCACCTGAAAAACAAGAATCATTAGTTCAAATAAAAACCTTTTGCGGTTTTAATTTTTTATTCGACTTTTTTTTAAAAAAATTAACCAATTATCACAATGTACTTATAAATCATATTGGTTAAACATATTTGATTATTGATTGGAATTACTGGTTTAATTCTATACACTAGCAGCGTAAAGTTGCAGGATCCGAGGGAAGGGCCGCATCCCAAGAAGGTGTGATATTAGGCAGCCTACCTTGTTGCAAGTATCAGTGGCTGTTTCCACAGCTCGAACATGTGACCTATAGGTCACGGGGTGACAACTTGACCATTGCTCCAAGGTTCCCCTTCTATGCACTAATAGCAGAGGCGGGGCTAGAATTTCAAGCTTATGGGTTCGAAATTTTAAGCATTTTAAGTTATTGGGTTCTAAATTAATAAAAATCGTAAATAATCAATGAATTTTTCAAAACAAATATATGGATTAAACCAAATCTATTGGGTTCGCCGAACTTGTAGCCGCCCCTGACTAATAGTGTAAAAAATATTTAAACAATTAGGTTTCTTGTAATGCAATTACTATTATCTTTATGAAAAACATTGTAATTGATAACTTTATCTCTAACTAGACTAATTGTGTGAAGTCAATCTTTATAATATATATATATATATATAAGAGTTGATTATATATACTTACAAAGTGAAAGCCGGTAATATCAAGAATACCAGCAGCAGCAGAGGCATAGTTAACTCCGAAACGCATTTTGTCGACGTTGAATATCTTCGAATATGGTGGAAGCAGTGGCAATCCCAGAAGGTCACCTGCATTTTTACATAATAAAAAGTAATTAAAGTACGTAGGAACTTATTTTCATCACGTAGAAATAATACTCTAAAAAGTTAGTACTCCACTATTTAGGAATTATCCAATTTATCCCGAATTTTACTTTTTCAGATTAATTTTTCATGACACAAATATACTGAATTGTCTGAAATTAAGATTTTTAGTCCAAATTTTTCAGGATAAAATAAATACTTGTTAATCTCTAAATAACGGCCCTAAAAACGACTGTTTGTGTACTTCATATTTTCACGGAATAACATCACTATATATAAGCACTAATTTAAAATTTTAATCAAGCTCTTTTAACGATTAAAATTGCATAATCAAGATCATGAGTACTTGAGACTTAACTTTTTAGCCGTTAGTTCAAATAAAAGTTTAAAGACTTGGATTATGCATTAATTACCACTTGTCTTAAGTAAAGTGAAAACAAAATAGTCAATACATTGTGAATTTGAATCTTATATTGGCCTTATGCTAAGTCAGTATAATCAAACAATAAATGCATGACATTTGTTTTCACATATATGAACATTTACCAACCAAGTTAACTAATGTGTATCTTCAAATTAATTAATTATTTAATTATGATAAATTAATCTGATAAGTTCTCCGCGAGTACTTAGCTTGCTTTCCCCCCCCCCCCCCTCTTTTTTTTTTGGTGCAAACTATTATTCTCCATATAGTAGTCCTATATCATCAATATACACTTTGACGTTCGGAAATTAGTTGCTCTATATATTCTTTAATTTTAAGATCCATACAAAAAGAAATAAATAAAGAAAGACAAGGCATAAATCATAATTCAGGCTTGAAACCGGAAATGCTATATTTTTGCTTCAGAAATAAATAGGGGCATTCTTCCTTCCTTTTCAAAACAAAAAATTTCGCCATGAATATATATTCTTTTTCCGAAGATAAATTCAGAACAAAAAATAAAACGAATAAAAGATAAAAATTCTTATTTTCATAGTTCTTCTAGAAAATGAAAAGATGTATACATACCGATAAAATATTATTTTTAGCTTTTAAAGGTTTCAAAGATAAAGCAATTGAAAAATGCTTCTTATTTAACCAAAAAAAAAATTGCTTCTTATTCGATTAATTAAGGAAAAAGAGAGAACCTAAAATACAAAAGGACAGATAATTAAGTGGCCGTTTGGACATAAGAATTGTGAAATTCCAAAAATTATTATTAAAAAATTCAAGTTGAATTAGAATTGTGTTTGGATATGAATACAATTCGAAATTGTTTCTAAATTTTTGTGAGTTATTTGGAGCGAAAATTGTAAAAAATAGCTTTTTAAAATTTTTAAAATTTTGAAAAATTTCAGAATTTAACTTCAAATTGAATTTAAAAATTTTAAGGCCAAACATTGATTCCGAATAAAAGTGAAAATATTTTCCGGAAACAAGTGAAATTTTTAATGGCCAAACAGTAAGAAACAACTGAGAAATGAAAAAGAGAGAACCATAAATATCAAAACATATATAT